CATTTTGAACAAGGCATATAAAGGCTGCAGTTTGCTGTGTCCAGGGAGGGAGTAGGAGGAGGGAAGACAGAGGAGACAAAGGTGTGGTGGGGAGGGAGAGGCTGTGAGGGACAAGTGGGGGTGGGAAGCAGCAGCTGAGCTGAAACTCTGATGCCAACCCTGGGCTTGGGGTTGGAATTGGAGCTGCAGCCACTGCCCCATCTCATCTTGTACTTGAATCTAAGATGTGCCCCCCCCCCCCATGATGAATGGGGAAAATAACCTTGTCTTGGATTCAGGTAAATATAGTATTACCATAACTGGCCCCAGCTTTGGCCCAAGTGAGGACTAGACAGATGCAGAGACTAGACTTCCATTTTTAACTTTTGAGGAAGTTGCTCCAGGTTAGCACTTAGAGATGATTAATAGGGAGGCATAGTGCTACATAAACTTGCATTCACACTGGCCTCCTGTCTCTGTCCAGTGGCTAATCTCCATGTTTTTCCATACAGCACATTCACAAGTGACAAATTCACTTTAGGAATGGAGATTAAAACCACACCAAGAAAGTAAGAGAAAAACATTACATTAAACAGAAATGTTGTAACTGCAATTTACTGTGCCATTGTTCCTGGTGTCAAAACATAGTTCAAAATATATAATTATCTGGGCCTGCAACACTGTAATAAAATCCTGTTTTCTCTCAGTTCTTTATTCCTCTTCCAATAACAAGATGCTACTGAAAATGGATTGACAACAAATAATGAAAGATAAAAAATGTGGACTTGAAACCTCAGTAAATTTTCACCTCACTTCACAGGGATATTACATAGTTATACAGCCATCACTAATGGGCATTATCAAAGCTTAAATGCCTCAATGATAGTGTTTTCTTAGTTTTAATAGACAATAATAAAGGCATCATTTTCTTCATTAGATCTTTTCTCTTTTTCTCTACCTACTCTACCCAGTAGAAAATTACAGTAAATCCAAGGAGATAAAATTACAAGAACATCAGTGTACCACCTAGACCAGGGGTCAGCAACCCCTGGCATGTGTGCTGAGCATGGCACACAAAGCCATTTTGCTCAGCACGCCACCACCAGCCTGGGCTCTAGGCAGCTGCTGCCAGCCACGAAGCCCAGCCTGCTCCCAGCAGGCAGCTGGGCAGCTGCAAGCCCTGCTGCAAGCAGACTGGGCTCCGTGCTTGGCAGCAGCTACCCAGAGCCTGAGCCGGTTGCAGCCAGGAGGCTGCAAACATCTGCTCCAGGCTCCATCATTAGCTCCATACCAGTGGGTGCACATGAGCCTCGGAGCTGACAGTGGTGGGGAGGCCTGAGGCAGAGCAACCCCAGCCTCTTCCCCATTGCTGGCACAGAGCTGACAACTGAGCTCTGGAGTCTGGCACGGCTGTTTGTAGCCAGCCTGGGCTCTGGGCAGCTGCAGCAGGCAGCAAGCAGGCTGCAAAGAGCTGTGCCAGGCTTCACAGCCCTGGCATCAGCTCCATGCCAGCAGTGACTACACGTGGACCTCAGAGCAGATAGCAGGAGGGCCATGCTGCCTCTGTCCCCACCATCTGCTCCAAGGCGCGCATGCACCTGCCAGTATAGAGCTGATGCCAGAGCCCGGAGCAGATGTTTGCAGCCTCCTGGCTGCAACTGGCTCAGGCTCTGGGTAGCTGCTGCCAACCACAGCAAGCAGCCTGGGCTTCATGGCTGGCAGCAGCTGAGCCCACCTGACTCCCACCCGCACCAAGCCCAGCATCTGGTTCTGTGTGTTTGTCTGCCTCTGTCTGGTTCTGTGTGTCTGTGTCACACGCATGTGTCTGGTTGTGGATATTTGTGTGCATCTGTCTGTTCTGAGTGTGTTCTGGTTCTCTGTGTTTGTGCACGTGGTTCTCTGTGTGCGTGTGCGTGTGCGTGTGGTGTGTCTGGTTCTCTCTCTGCTCTACTTTTTTTTTTCTCTTTCTCTCTCTCCTCTTTCTCTTATTTGCCTCTTTTTTGTCTATCTCTCATTGCAACATGCTCAACGAAAAAGGAATACAGAACAACAAAGGCAACATTTATGATTATTAAATATACTAATATGCAATGTGTCCTGCCATGTACCCCCTCACCACCCCCATTTTGCTTTTCTGGTATGCCAGCACTCCAGTACCTTCTAAGGTAGACATTGTGATTTTTTCGGCACTCCGGCCAAAAAACATTGCCTTCCCTGGCCAAGACTTATTTTGGTAGACAGGGCCAGACCACCTGTTCATTGGAAGGTGCTAAGAGGGGAAACTTTCTCCCGAGGATTGTCTTCCTGATTGTCCTGACAGGGGCATGAGAAACCACCAGCTCTCTAGTATGATTTGTGGGAGCTGGGAAAGTGGTTTGTGCTCATGGTCTGGTTGCGTGTCCCAGACCTTACCACTTCCAAGGGAATATACTGTTTAAAGAGGACTCTGTGGCACAGAGGAAGAAAGGTCCAATTTGAATTATCTGTTCCAGATTAGCTTAGTGTTACCAGAGGAGGACCATGAGCACTACCCAGGCTGCAGCTGCAGCCCGCCGGATTCCCTTAGGCACAATCTCAATCTGTGAGGTCCTGGATGGGGATGATCCCTCCCACTGGGGTGCCTAATCTGCCCATTCTATGCCAGAAACAGATGTTTGAAACATGATGGAGCCCAAAGTTTATTCACGCCTTGGGTTTCTCTTATAAACAGGTAAAGATCCTCCTAGTTATTAAATGTAGGAGTAGAAACCATTAAAGAGAACGTGTATTAAATGCCCGATCTCCTTTGGCATGAGATTCTGCTATAGTATGCAATTAAAGCTGAGTGGGCATTAATCCTGAAAGTGAGACATACCAATCTGTGGACTGTTCCCCAAGAGAAGTGACAAAAACCCTCTCACTGGGGCATTTAAAAGTGCCAGCCAACACACCAGAGAATACATACCCGGAGACAGTCTCATGCCAACAGGGAGATTCTCTGGGTCAAATTCAGAGATGACTCTAAGGGAGACTAAATTACTGTAATATTCACTAGCCTCCACTATCTATGGCACACCAAGTTAGACTCTCTCAAGAGCCCCTCAAACTTAATTAGGGACTCATGTAGACTCACATGCACTCCAACCTACAGCCTATACCCAACTCCAGTCTTTATACATCATTCTTGAATTTTGTCCACTGCTTTTAAACATAAAGGATTTTAAGAGGATATAAATCAGTGTAACTCACCCTTCAAAAAGATGAGAGAAGTGAGGTGTGAAAAATGCAATGAATAGATGGGTGCAATAAGTAATTAAGTTGGTGCATGTGCCACTTTATCTGCCATGATGAGTAGCTCTGAGACGGCATAAAAAGGTGTAAGTTACACACCAGCAGAGACTCACACATCACAAAGACTGTTGTTAGATAGATATTACCTTCCCTGCATGTTACATACTTTTTAGGTGGGAGTGTCTACCAAGGAAAAGACAAGCTAAGTGGGCTCCGAGCATCTCAGAGTTACAAGTCTGTGGGCCAGGAATATCTCTGGTTGTTAGGCTGCTTGTGTTGAGGTAACATCAGTCTGCTCCACAAGGCCAGTACAAGCAATTTGTGGTCTTACAGCATGCCAGGATGTATCACTGCCAGTGCCCCCTCCACGTGGACGGTCTTTCCTCCTGGATTCTACTGCCCAAACTGGCAAAGGTCTTGCGAGTCGGGCAGCCGCAGGGAAGCTGGCAGTTGTGGTGGAGCCGTGGGAGAGCCAAAGACCCGGGCAGCAGGGCAGCCTTGGGGGAGCTGGCAGCTGCTGGTGAGCTGCCAGAGAACCAGAGAGCAGGACAGCTGGGGTCTAGACTTGGCAGCTCCTCGCTACACCCCTGCTCCTCACCCCTCTAGCTGCAAGTCAAAGCTGTGCACGTCAGAGAGGGTATTAACCCTTAATGTTTGACTGCTCACAGCATGATCTGACTTTAAAGATGCCTAACATTCCTTACAGTGTGAATTGTAACACCTGACAACACCCTAAGTGTGTGGCAGTAGGTCCAAGTATGGCCTTAGTCACATAGGGAAGGGGGACTGGGCAATCTGTATTTGACAGCATCTGCTCTGGGACCAGGTCCCAGGTCACAGAGCAACATTTTCCTTGTCCCCTCTCCTCAGGACCAGATTCACACATAGGTGAACTAGGCACATACCTAGGGCCCTAAGTGAAGAAGGGGTCCAGTTGTGTTTATTTTACTTATTATAATTATTGAGTAAAAAAAGTAATATAAAAATGTCATCTTCGGCTGGGGACCCACAAGTTTGTCTGCCTAGGGCCCACTAAAGAGTTAATCCACCCCTGCCCTTCCCTACCATTGCAGCAGCAGCACCACTGGAGGAAGAGCAGCAACTCTTCATGCCCTTTCTGTGGCAATAATAACCCTCTCTGCTGTCATGGTGTTAGCAGTGGGGTCCTGCTGCTCTCCCAAGTCCTGGCTGGGCTGCAGCTCTACTCTCTGCAGTGCAGACTGTAAGGGAGCCAACTGCTCTCATTCCCACCCCCTTGGGTGGGTGGTGGGGAAACCAAAGTATGAGGAGGTGCTAGGGAAATGATGTCCACAGGTTACATGTGGCACTACAAAACATAGCACACAACTTCAGAGAAGTTCCTGTTTTAAATCGGAATTTTTACTGGCAGGTGCACAATCTTTGTGGGAGGCTGAAAATATGCATGCTAGCTTTTTGTAGCAGTAAAACAATGTCTGTAAGCACTACAAACATAGTGTGTGTCCACAGCCTGTGTCTGGATGTAGTGTGATTTGCCTTGACCACCTTACATATTGCCTGTACATTTGGAAGATATGAGATTAAATGAATGATTCTCCCAGTTCTCTCGCTTGGTGCATTATAGTATCCTCTTCTTAAATGTTCCCTTTGTCTAAATTCTAAAATCTACTGTGTTTTATTGCAGCATGCAAAAGGAAAGAACAAGAACATGGGAAGGATAGAGGAAATACACCCAAAAAGCCTAGGTTGGTCTTCACGGATGTCCAGCGTCGAACTCTACATGCAATATTCAAGGAAAATAAGCGTCCATCCAAAGAATTACAAATCACCATTTCCCAGCAGCTAGGGTTGGAGCTGAGCACCGTCAGCAACTTTTTCATGAATGCACGGAGGAGGAGTCTGGATAAGTGGCAAGATGAGGGCAGCTCCAATTCAGGCAACTCGTCATCTTCATCAAGCACTTGTACCAAAGCATGAAGGAATAACCACAAACTAAACCTCGGTGGAAAAGCTTTAAAAATAAATAAATAAATAAAGACCAGGACCTCAAGATAGCAGGTTTATTCTTAGAACTATTTGAAAAAAATGTTATTTATAAGTCCAAAGAAACCAAAGACTTATTTCACCTGCATTATGACTTTGTTCTGAGACACACACTTTAGTAGGACGACAACTTGCAAAAAAATAAATAAAAAAGAGAGAAAAAGGAATGAAACAACAACAAAAAAGAGAGAGAAAAGAAAGAAACCACTGGTCTTACACCTTCATCCATGATCATTTTCACCGTACGTGGCTGTTTAGTGGTTTGGAGCATAGTGATTTCTTGTCATTGAATGGACATCTTTTCAGATATGGCTCTTCATTTCCACAGAAATTGCCATGAAGGTGTATAGTGTATCCGTACTGTGTACACACCAGTGGTTAGGGACTCAGTCAGGGCTGGTCTTCTGAAGGGGTTGTTGTGCTATAGCATGACCAAAATAGCGTGGAGTCGTCTGAATTCATTTGAATGGTAGTGTGATTTTGCTGTTTTATTGTTTGAACTTAACTGGTGCAACACCTGGAGACAAGTTCAAACTAGGCAAAGAAATTTTGAATGATACCTAAACCAGTGCATTCTCTTTGTTTGTTAAGGAATGTTCAGATTTAAAAAGTAAAACAATATTCCATCCATAAAAAATCGACTAGCTACCAAAGAACACATTTAATATTATATTGCAGGTATTTTATTGCAATGATTTTAATATTCCAAAGCTATTTTTACACAAAATACTATGTAGAGTTATAGGTATAAACTAATCTAACTGTATAACACATAACTTGTAATCAAGACTGTTATTTGCAATTATTAAACCACTTTAATATTTGTTTCCATAATTGGCAAGAAAGAATGTAGTGTTAGTTGTAGCCGTATATACCAGTGTAATAGCACAGATGCTAATAATGGGCTCCAGCTCCCATAAAAGCAAAGAAGCATTTTAGAGTTGGCTTCAGCAAAAAGAGGACAGAGCCGTTACAGCTGTGTGTAAGAATAATGTGAAATCTGCCATGTATGCACACATGTATTACACTGTCCCTGGCTGATGCTGCTGTAAGCTCATCTAATTGAATGCTATGAAAAGACCATCTTTTCTTACCAGTCTGTTCTAGGTAAAAATAACTCAGCTCTCCCATCTAGACCTCAAACATTATAGTTAGTTCAATTTGATGCATTTTGTACAAAAAAATAAGAATTATGGATTAATCTAAAAACTATGTGGTCTAGTTTTTAGACCACAATGTCGTCTAGTTTTTAGACTTTGCCTTGTTGACATCAATGGCCTTTTTATCTATTGACTTCATTGGAAAATGAATCATGCCCTGAGTTGGGATGTTCTTTTGCTTCCAGATTCTTTTCCCATTTAAAATAATGGCACATCTCTTGTTAAGTTCAGTGGAACCAGCTCCAGAAAAGTACTGCTGGTATTTTGGGGGGTAAATTCTGGTTCCACTGAAGTCAACAGCAAAATTCCCATGCAGTTTAGTGACAACAGGATGTTGTCCAATGTTTTGTATTTGCACCTATTTAAGTTTTTATTCTAGCACATTCTTTCTTGCTCATCTGTTAACCAGGATACTGCATGAAATAGTTTAAAATTAGTAGTTGAGAAGCATTTAAATACTCTGTTGCTAACAGAACTTTAGAAGAAGATTAATTTGTTCCATTCATACTATGATAAAATCCAAAAGAAAAAAGTGTAAAGTCTGCATATAAAGTTCTGATGTAAAGGGGGGATTAAAAAAAAAATAACGTGCCTGTTAGCTCTCTAACTGGTATTTCAGATTACTGCAGCAAAATTTACTCAGTATCTTAAATTCCAAATTAACCAAATGCAGGTATATGTCCCATTATTAGGATGAGAAATATGTAATCTCAATACCTATATTAAAACAAATTGAAGGTAAACTAGAATCCAATATATGTTAACAGTAGCAGAAACTATACTCTTGTTATAAAATCCAATTAAAATGCTAAAGACAAAGAAATTATGTAACTTTGCAGCACCATTTATTTTCTAAGTCAACAGTGTTTGGTCAAGTTTCAAGCTATACAGTTAATTTACAAATAGGTGTTTACAATGCAACTTAAATAGCTCCTTATTAAAACAACGTTAAACAAGAACAGGATGTTTGGCACCAAATATTTCTCAACATTTTTCTACGTTCAACCCATTTTTAAAACTGACAATGCTATTGTCTATTGAAAGGTGGTCTGTTCATATTTTAGAGTTGCTAGCTTACCTGAAATTCTAGCAAGCTTTCTTTTAAATGTCCATACTCAGTGAGACACAATTAAAGTTGAAACACTAATACGAAGATATAAACTTACATTTATGCTATCTTATCAATGCAATTTCTTTAATGTAGTAGTAATAAAGGACAATAACTAATATTTTGCTTTTTCCAGGAACACACTGCTGTGTAGCTTATAGGTTAGAAAGAAAGCCTTATTTATTTAAAACTTGAGAATTTAAAAATGCAGGGAAATTCAGAGTACATTACCGCATTTTTAGTATGTACATTGTAACGTCTTTTGAGACTATTTGCTTAAACCAAAGAAAACTTTCATACCAGCATTATATTTGCACCCAATATGCAATTTCAGGATCTCTGCGATATATACACACATTTACACACACAGACTGATGCTCAAGTTACAGCCTAAAAGTGGTTTTTCATATGTCTGTTGAAACATATTTAGACCTTTTGTTTTTAAAAGCCATTATGAGCAAAGTCACCCTTCCCATAAGCAATATACTAATCATACTTTGAAGATGCAGAAAACACGCTTTTCTTTACTTCCTTTTTAAATATGAAGCAAAATAAGTATGGAATTCTTCATCCTCATTAGCAAGTTGTTTTACCTCTCAGTGTACTGCCCTCTGTGTTGACTGAAGCATAGACAGTAGATTATATGGTGCACCCTGATTCTTATCATTTCTTGTCTTTAGCAATGGTCACCCAGGAAGGTAAACTCTATTTCTAAAATTAAACTTAAAATTCTACATAAAGGACAAAATCCTGCCCCTATAGAAGTCAGTGGAAGTCTTTCTATTGACTTCAATGCCTTCAGAGTTTCAGCCAACATTTCCTGTCAAATTTTAAATTCCTACTAGGCCACCAAAGTACCACCGAGCTACTGGTTTAGGACCTAAGATTGACAAGAAACAGGAAAGGAAGAAAAAAATGGAAAATGCTTGGCAATGCCAAGAGGCTGGGCTTCAGTCAAAGTTCATCAAAAACTAGCGGGCATTGGAAATGTGCACTCAGTTCTTGGAGTGAATCCAAAAGTTATCAGAAGGACCCAAGAGAGGGGTGGCAAAGAGGTTGAACATTTTAATCCATCCACATAGTAAATGCATTATTAACTTTCCAGAAAAACAACCACCATAACACTGCTACTTTTTGGCTCCCGTATTCCTATCCAAGGGCCTCATCCTATGTCCTTACTCAGGCAAAGCAAACCAGAAACCAAAGTGAAAAAAACCTAAAATGGGGTTTTTTGCCTGAGTGCTTGATCCTGCTCCTTCCCAAGACAGTGACAAAATCCCTATTGATTTCCGTGAGTCACCTGTTGTCCTGCTTTCTCATGTTGAAAAGAATCTTGCTCAACAAGTGGCCCCCTTGAAGTCAATGGAGCTACTTGTGGAGTTAGGTGTTCCTCTGAGTAAAAGAGAGATGCATAATATGTCTCTGAATAGGGCTGGTTCCTGAGAAGGACTTCAGAATCGGGCCCTTGCATCAGTGGGCATTCTGCCCGAAGTGGACAGCCTGTCCTTGGAGGGCAAGAAACACTGCTGATCTTGTTATACCAAAGAGTCTTAGGACACTTCTTTTCACCTAAGTTGTAAAAAAGAAAAAAAAGAAAAAAAAACCATATTTTCCCTCGAAAGGTGATCCTTCCCCTTCCTTCTCTTCTCCTCCTCCTCCTTTGTACATAAGGATGAAAACTATGCATTTAGCAAACAAAGAGAAAGCACTTATCCCTTTTCTATCTAGCTGTGTTTAGGGTGCATTCAAAGGCCCAGAGGCTAATTTTGAGACTGCTTAGCCTCCTGGTTTATTATTGTGGTGTGGTTAGCTTTACAATACATTTGGTAACTATTTGCTAAAGACAAAGAAGCAAAAGGTAAGGGATAGCTACTTCCACGTATTTAAAAAAAAGAAAAAAAAAGAAAAAGTGTGTAAAGATCTACTATTTATAGTGTGAACCAAAGACGCTACCTCACTCGATTTCCATTGGTGATTTTAATCACATTGATGATACCAAAGAATACCAAAGATTTTTCATGCACGGCCTTAGTCTGTAAAGGGAACTCATCCTCTTTCTTTAAATACCCCCAACCCCTTCCTCAATCTTCACTCAGTGTGTAAACTTGTCTTCATTCTTAATAATAATGATAATAATCTTATAAATACTACTATTACTACGACTGCTACTTCTGATGATGATGATGATGATGATGATAATAATAATAAAGCTCTAGGCAAACATGTTGCAAACTTTGTAAACTCATAGGACGAGTGCCTTGCTTGAACCAAAGTGTTAAACCGCTGTTGACCTCTTTATCTCTCACCTTATACTCTTTGAATACCTCAGCCTGTTAGAAAGGCCACTAATGAAAAAAAGGAATAATTCTTCACCGTGGTGCTTTTTGCCGTGCAACCATGCAATGAAACTTTCTTTGATACCAAAGGAAAATGTTTTTTTCCACTTTCTTGCTGACAAACCAAAGGTTCCTTCTTCTTTCCCCCTGAAAGCAGCTTGAGTCCCTCCACTCAGACAGGCCGTGCATTTCTTTTACCAATTCCTCCAAATACCTCATAGTAATAAATCCTTAGGGTTATGTTGTATAGAGAGTCTATGTGATAAGGCAGAACTTACTAGTTTGATAATTGTTAAGGTTACTTAAAAAAAGCTTTATAATTCTTATTTATTTTGTAGGGGTTGTTTTGTTTATACATTTCTTTTTTATCGTTTGGGTTTGGGTTTCTTTTTTCATTTCCTTTGACAGAACTGCTCTGTTATACTCAAGGAAGACCTTATTCCTGGAACTGTTTCAGAGGCTGGATAAAGATAGTTGTTTGCAAAGAATGCAAGGAAGAGAAAAATGGCTTACATTTCTTTTGTTTAAATTGAGATGCTTTGTGTTTGCTAGTCAATGTTCTTTTCCACAGGGTAAAAGTATTCTCTGCTGTGATAAATGGGTTCCTATTTTTTTCTATGATGTGCTGTGATTTTTAATTTAATTACATTTTATATACGCTTATTTAATCACTGCTTTAATTTATGACTATATAGTGAAAAAAAATGTATATAGTAGATTCAAAGACGGCCAAAGCTTTATGTTACAATCTTTTTGTTCTTGATGCTAAGATAAACTGAAGGAGAGTGCTTCTCTTGACTGCAGGGTGTATCTTCAGACTTGTCTTAGCATGCACTTCAATGTGTGTTACAAACACTGCCAGGTTATCCCCCCGCCCCCAAAAAACTTGTACATGCCAAAATGAGTGTTTCAAGGTAGTACTGTTGTCACTTAGAAAGCAGAAAGGCATTATTAGTGTGTTTTTCATTTAATTTATTTGTCTTTTTCTAGAAAGGTTATTTTGTGGGTAAGACCTGCACATCCAAAGAATTTAAACATTGTTTAATGTTTTAAAAGCACTGGCATTTGTGAGAGACTTTACTGACTTTTTTTTGTTTGTTTTTATTTGCCATTCGCACGGGTATAGCAAGTAGAGGATGTAAAACTTTAGAGAAAAGCTAACTTGAATTTGGAAATGCTCTTAATACATG